TAATCTATTTATTATTCTTATTGGAAAATTGTTGTTTGTTAGAATATCTCGGATTTTGTGTTTGTTCTTGTTATGGAATTTCTCGTCACTAATGCTCATTACTCTATGTACTAAATTTTTTGCAGTGTTTATAATCATTTGCTTGGGATGTTTCGAAAAGAAATTTATAATTCTTCCCGATGCCGTGGGTTTCTGATACCAGTCTAATTCTAATTTGTCCTTATTTCTATATATTATTGTGTCTAGATATGGTAAACATCCATTCATTTCATCCTCCATGGTGAATTTGATATTGTTGCTGAAACTGTTAAGTATATTCAATGTATCATTGATTGCATCTTCCCCAGTTATCACAAAAAGATCGTCCACGTATTTCGTTAATATTTTGGGTTTTGTTGTCAGTTTTTCCATGCAGGTGTCTAAGAGTTTCTCCATGACTATATCCGCCACAACTGGAGAAGCTGGTGAACCCATTGGCAGTCCTTTCTTTTGTTTATATATCTTGTCGTCGTATTTGAAATATCGGTTGTCTTTAATGCAAAATTTTAGAATACTTAAAAATAGGCCCTTTGTCATATTTGTGTATTCTTTTAGTTCTTCCCACCTTTCGTCGATTATTTGAATACCAAGATCTATCGGTATGCTTGGGAAGAGTGATACTACGTCAAACGAAACCATCCTGTCATTTTCTTTAATCGTCATATTTTTAACTTTGTTTTTGAACGCCATTGAGTCTTGAACGTTATATTTGGAGAATTTGGTAAGATTTTTTAAAATTTTAACCACATATTTGCACAGTTCTTCCGACGGAGAATTGATTGAAGAACAGATCGGGCGTAACGGGAAATCTACCTTGTGGATTTTTGGTAGTCCATACAATCTTGGAGCTGTAGCCACGTCACTTCTGAGTTTTTTCCTTTCCATTGTCGTAATAATGTTGTTTTTGTATAGCTCCTCCACCAGTTCATTATTCTTTTTTATCAAACCTGTTGTTGGATCTTTGTTCACCCGTTGATATGTCATCATATCTGAAATAATACTGTTCATCCTCTGTTTGTAGTCATTAATGTCCATTGCAACCGTAACATTTCCTTTGTCAGCATTTAAAATTAATATATTTTTATTTTGTTTCAAAAAAGTTTTGGTGCGGCCCACTGTGCTGTTGATAAATTTATCTCGTTCACTCTCTTTCATCTTATTCATATGTGTGTCTATCATTGTTGTGAACTTTGTCCTCATCATTTCTTGTTGTTCTTTGTCATTCCATGTTTGTATTACGTCTTCGCCGTCTGCTATTAGTTTAAATAGTGGGAATTGTGATTTTGTTGTTGGAAGTCCAAATTTCTCTCCAAGCGAAAGAAGCCATTTCACGTCATCGGGGAATTGAGTGTTTGTTTTGTTTACAAACCATTTATCATTCTGTTTTATGCCAAGTTGTATCATTTGTTGTTGTTTAAGTTTTTCGAATTTTCTTTTCTGTGTGTTTTTTATTTCGTTCTCCATGTTCGATATTATTTTGCTTTCGTTTTGAGTAACTATGTTTATCTCTTGTTGTGTTAGATTTTCTCCCAAAGTTTTTTCTATATTTTGTTGATCCCTTTGATTGTTCTTTATTTCGTAATGTTTCTGTTTAATTAGTAGATTGAGAATCTTGTTTTGAAAAGTATCAATGTATCCCTTTAATGTATTTTTAATGTGGTATATTTGAGGTGTCTTAAAAATATTGTGAATATTTTTTAAGGCATTTTTAATAAAGTTAGGAATGATGCCGTTGTTACGACATCGAATTAGAAAAGTTAAAGAGCATTTTGTTTTGGCAATCTTCACTTTTGTGTTTTTGTGTTTGTTAATGCTGTGTTTGATGTTGTTTTTATACTTGATGTTTCTGTAGATCATGTTGTTGGTATTCGGCGTGCTCTCCGTGTTATATATTATAAGTGTGAGTTTTTTCGACCTATTTTCCAATATATTTAATAATATGAGTTTTTTTGAGCTTTAGGCCAGTTTTTTATTTTATTTCATTTTTGATCTCCGATATTTCGCAATTGTATAAATTGCATCTTCAGGGGATCTACAAGATAATATAATATTCTTAATATTACTATCACAGCATTGATTAAAAATAGAAACAAACACAATCTTATTACACAAAAATCGCTTACTTGTAAACAATAATCGTCAAGTTAACTTAATAACTACGATAGAATGCACTATCATCGTCGGCTGTTAATATTGCACTGATTTTGTTTACATATTGCACGATCTCTTCTTTTGTGTCAAATGCCTATAGCAATAAGCTGCGTTATCTGTGTCGCTCTTAAAATTTATTCTCTCTGTTGTGTGTAGATTGTTGATGTGTAACATTTCTAATGTGAGTCTTCTGTGGTAATGGTTTTCCGTTTGCAGTATTTTTACTTGTTCAAGGTTTGGCTGATGGTTGCTTGATATACAGTGTTCCGCAAGCGCTGTTTTTTGTGTGTAATTTTGGTTTCTCATTTTTAAATCAGACTTATGGGCTGATAGTCTAGTTTTCAATTTATTTTTTGTGGTACCAACATAATATTTCCCACATTTTTCGTTAGGGTTGCCATCGCATTGTATTTGGTATATCACATTGTGTTTATCAGGATTTTGTATTTTGTCTTTTGTATGGCTAAATAGCTTTTTGAGAGTGTTGTTGTTTTTCTGGGCTATTATATATTTGTTCTTGTCATATAAATTTGAGTTCTGGAATCGTTCTGATAAATTTGGTACGTAAATCATAGATTTATATATCTTTTCATCTTTTTGGGTTTCTCTAGTAGTATTCCGTCGTCCTATTAATCTATTTATTATTCTTATTGGAAAATTGTTGTTTGTTAGAATATCTCGGATTTTGTGTTTGTTCTTGTTATGGAATTTCTCGTCACTAATGCTCATTACTCTATGTACTAAATTTTTTGCAGTGTTTATAATCATTTGCTTGGGATGTTTCGAAAAGAAATTTATAATTCTTCCCGATGCCGTGGGTTTCTGATACCAGTCTAATTCTAATTTGTCCTTATTTCTATATATTATTGTGTCTAGATATGGTAAACATCCATTCATTTCATCCTCCATGGTGAATTTGATATTGTTGCTGAAACTGTTAAGTATATTCAATGTATCATTGATTGCATCTTCCCCAGTTATCACAAAAAGATCGTCCACGTATTTCGTTAATATTTTGGGTTTTGTTGTCAGTTTTTCCATGCAGGTGTCTAAGAGTTTCTCCATGACTATATCCGCCACAACTGGAGAAGCTGGTGAACCCATTGGCAGTCCTTTCTTTTGTTTATATATCTTGTCGTCGTATTTGAAATATCGGTTGTCTTTAATGCAAAATTTTAGAATACTTAAAAATAGGCCCTTTGTCATATTTGTGTATTCTTTTAGTTCTTCCCACCTTTCGTCGATTATTTGAATACCAAGATCTATCGGTATGCTTGGGAAGAGTGATACTACGTCAAAACGAAACCATCCTGTCATTTTCTTTAATCGTCATATTTTTAACTTTGTTTTTGAACGCCATTGAGTCTTGAACGTTATATTTGGAGAATTTGGTAAGATTTTTTAAAATTTTAACCACATATTTGCACAGTTCTTCCGACGGAGAATTGATTGAAGAACAGATCGGGCGTAACGGGAAATCTACCTTGTGGATTTTTGGTAGTCCATACAATCTTGGAGCTGTAGCCACGTCACTTCTGAGTTTTTTCCTTTCCATTGTCGTAATAATGTTGTTTTTGTATAGCTCCTCCACCAGTTCATTATTCTTTTTTATCAAACCTGTTGTTGGATCTTTGTTCACCCGTTGATATGTCATCATATCTGAAATAATACTGTTCATCCTCTGTTTGTAGTCATTAATGTCCATTGCAACCGTAACATTTCCTTTGTCAGCATTTAAAATTAATATATTTTTATTTTGTTTCAAAAAAGTTTTGGTGCGGCCCACTGTGCTGTTGATAAATTTATCTCGTTCACTCTCTTTCATCTTATTCATATGTGTGTCTATCATTGTTGTGAACTTTGTCCTCATCATTTCTTGTTGTTCTTTGTCATTCCATGTTTGTATTACGTCTTCGCCGTCTGCTATTAGTTTAAATAGTGGGAATTGTGATTTTGTTGTTGGAAGTCCAAATTTCTCTCCAAGCGAAAGAAGCCATTTCACGTCATCGGGGAATTGAGTGTTTGTTTTGTTTACAAACCATTTATCATTCTGTTTTATGCCAAGTTGTATCATTTGTTGTTGTTTAAGTTTTTCGAATTTTCTTTTCTGTGTGTTTTTTATTTCGTTCTCCATGTTCGATATTATTTTGCTTTCGTTTTGAGTAACTATGTTTATCTCTTGTTGTGTTAGATTTTCTCCCAAAGTTTTTTCTATATTTTGTTGATCCCTTTGATTGTTCTTTATTTCGTAATGTTTCTGTTTAATTAGTAGATTGAGAATCTTGTTTTGAAAAGTATCAATGTATCCCTTTAATGTATTTTTAATGTGGTATATTTGAGGTGTCTTAAAAATATTGTGAATATTTTTTAAGGCATTTTTAATAAAGTTAGGAATGATGCCGTTGTTACGACATCGAATTAGAAAAGTTAAAGAGCATTTTGTTTTGGCAATCTTCACTTTTGTGTTTTTGTGTTTGTTAATGCTGTGTTTGATGTTGTTTTTATACTTGATGTTTCTGTAGATCATGTTGTTGGTATTCGGCGTGCTCTCCGTGTTATATATTATAAGTGTGAGTTTTTTCGACCTATTTTCCAATATATTTAATAATATGAGTTTTTTTGAGCTTTAGGCCAGTTTTTTATTTTATTTCATTTTTGATCTCCGATATTTCGCAATTGTATAAATTGCATCTTCAGGGGATCTACAAGATAATATAATATTCTTAATATTACTATCACAGCATTGATTAAAAATAGAAACAAACACAATCTTATTACACAAAAATCGCTTACTTGTAAACAATAATCTAACACAACAAGAGATAAACATAGTTACTCAAAACGAAAGCAAAATAATATCGAACATGGAGAACGAAATAAAAAACACACAGAAAAGAAAATTCGAAAAACTTAAACAACAACAAATGATACAACTTGGCATAAAACAGAATGATAAATGGTTTGTAAACAAAACAAACACTCAATTCCCCGATGACGTGAAATGGCTTCTTTCGCTTGGAGAGAAATTTGGACTTCCAACAACAAAATCACAATTCCCACTATTTAAACTAATAGCAGACGGCGAAGACGTAATACAAACATGGAATGACAAAGAACAACAAGAAATGATGAGGACAAAGTTCACAACAATGATAGACACACATATGAATAAGATGAAAGAGAGTGAACGAGATAAATTTATCAACAGCACAGTGGGCCGCACCAAAACTTTTTTGAAACAAAATAAAAATATATTAATTTTAAATGCTGACAAAGGAAATGTTACGGTTGCAATGGACATTAATGACTACAAACAGAGGATGAACAGTATTATTTCAGATATGATGACATATCAACGGGTGAACAAAGATCCAACAACAGGTTTGATAAAAAAGAATAATGAACTGGTGGAGGAGCTATACAAAAACAACATTATTACGACAATGGAAAGGAAAAAACTCAGAAGTGACGTGGCTACAGCTCCAAGATTGTATGGACTACCAAAAATCCACAAGGTAGATTTCCCGTTACGCCCGATCTGTTCTTCAATCAATTCTCCGTCGGAAGAACTGTGCAAATATGTGGTTAAAATTTTAAAAAATCTTACCAAATTCTCCAAATATAACGTTCAAGACTCAATGGCGTTCAAAAACAAAGTTAAAAATATGACGATTAAAGAAAATGACAGGATGGTTTCGTTTGACGTAGTATCACTCTTCCCAAGCATACCGATAGATCTTGGTATTCAAATAATCGACGAAAGGTGGGAAGAACTAAAAGAATACACAAATATGACAAAGGGCCTATTTTTAAGTATTCTAAAATTTTGCATTAAAGACAACCGATATTTCAAATACGACGACAAGATATATAAACAAAAGAAAGGACTGCCAATGGGTTCACCAGCTTCTCCAGTTGTGGCGGATATAGTCATGGAGAAACTCTTAGACACCTGCATGGAAAAACTGACAACAAAACCCAAAATATTAACGAAATACGTGGACGATCTTTTTGTGATAACTGGGGAAGATGCAATCAATGATACATTGAATATACTTAACAGTTTCAGCAACAATATCAAATTCACCATGGAGGATGAAATGAATGGATGTTTACCATATCTAGACACAATAATATATAGAAATAAGGACAAATTAGAATTAGACTGGTATCAGAAACCCACGGCATCGGGAAGAATTATAAATTTCTTTTCGAAACATCCCAAGCAAATGATTATAAACACTGCAAAAAATTTAGTACATAGAGTAATGAGCATTAGTGACGAGAAATTCCATAACAAGAACAAACACAAAATCCGAGATATTCTAACAAACAACAATTTTCCAATAAGAATAATAAATAGATTAATAGGACGACGGAATACTACTAGAGAAACCCAAAAAGATGAAAAGATATATAAATCTATGATTTACGTACCAAATTTATCAGAACGATTCCAGAACTCAAATTTATATGACAAGAACAAATATATAATAGCCCAGAAAAACAACAACACTCTCAAAAAGCTATTTAGCCATACAAAAGACAAAATACAAAATCCTGATAAACACAATGTGATATACCAAATACAATGCGATGGCAACCCTAACGAAAAATGTGGGAAATATTATGTTGGTACCACAAAAAATAAATTGAAAACTAGACTATCAGCCCATAAGTCTGATTTAAAAATGAGAAACCAAAATTACACACAAAAAACAGCGCTTGCGGAACACTGTATATCAAGCAACCATCAGCCAAACCTTGAACAAGTAAAAATACTGCAAACGGAAAACCATTACCACAGAAGACTCACATTAGAAATGTTACACATCAACAATCTACACACAACAGAGAGAATAAATTTTAAGAGCGACACAGATAACGCAGCTTATTGCTATAGGCATTTGACACAAAAGAAGAGATCGTGCAATATGTAAACAAAATCAGTGCAATATTAACAGCCGACGATGATAGTGCATTCTATCGTAGTTATTAAGTTAACTTGACGATTATTGTTTACAAGTAAGCGATTTTTGTGTAATAAGATTGTGTTTGTTTCTATTTTTAATCAATGCTGTGATAGTAATATTAAGAATATTATATTATCTTGTAGATCCCCTGAAGATGCAATTTATACAATTGCGAAATATCGGAGATCAAAAATGAAATAAAATAAAAAACTGGCCTAAAGCTCAAAAAAACTCATATTATTAAATATATTGGAAAATAGGTCGAAAAAACTCACACTTATAATATATAACACGGAGAGCACGCCGAATACCAACAACATGATCTACAGAAACATCAAGTATAAAAACAACATCAAACACAGCATTAACAAACACAAAAACACAAAAGTGAAGATTGCCAAAACAAAATGCTCTTTAACTTTTCTAATTCGATGTCGTAACAACGGCATCATTCCTAACTTTATTAAAAATGCCTTAAAAAATATTCACAATATTTTTAAGACACCTCAAATATACCACATTAAAAATACATTAAAGGGATACATTGATACTTTTCAAAACAAGATTCTCAATCTACTAATTAAACAGAAACATTACGAAATAAAGAACAATCAAAGGGATCAACAAAATATAGAAAAAACTTTGGGAGAAAATCTAACACAACAAGAGATAAACATAGTTACTCAAAACGAAAGCAAAATAATATCGAACATGGAGAACGAAATAAAAAACACACAGAAAAGAAAATTCGAAAAACTTAAACAACAACAAATGATACAACTTGGCATAAAACAGAATGATAAATGGTTTGTAAACAAAACAAACACTCAATTCCCCGATGACGTGAAATGGCTTCTTTCGCTTGGAGAGAAATTTGGACTTCCAACAACAAAATCACAATTCCCACTATTTAAACTAATAGCAGACGGCGAAGACGTAATACAAACATGGAATGACAAAGAACAACAAGAAATGATGAGGACAAAGTTCACAACAATGATAGACACACATATGAATAAGATGAAAGAGAGTGAACGAGATAAATTTATCAACAGCACAGTGGGCCGCACCAAAACTTTTTTGAAACAAAATAAAAATATATTAATTTTAAATGCTGACAAAGGAAATGTTACGGTTGCAATGGACATTAATGACTACAAACAGAGGATGAACAGTATTATTTCAGATATGATGACATATCAACGGGTGAACAAAGATCCAACAACAGGTTTGATAAAAAAGAATAATGAACTGGTGGAGGAGCTATACAAAAACAACATTATTACGACAATGGAAAGGAAAAAACTCAGAAGTGACGTGGCTACAGCTCCAAGATTGTATGGACTACCAAAAATCCACAAGGTAGATTTCCCGTTACGCCCGATCTGTTCTTCAATCAATTCTCCGTCGGAAGAACTGTGCAAATATGTGGTTAAAATTTTAAAAAATCTTACCAAATTCTCCAAATATAACGTTCAAGACTCAATGGCGTTCAAAAACAAAGTTAAAAATATGACGATTAAAGAAAATGACAGGATGGTTTCGTTTGACGTAGTATCACTCTTCCCAAGCATACCGATAGATCTTGGTATTCAAATAATCGACGAAAGGTGGGAAGAACTAAAAGAATACACAAATATGACAAAGGGCCTATTTTTAAGTATTCTAAAATTTTGCATTAAAGACAACCGATATTTCAAATACGACGACAAGATATATAAACAAAAGAAAGGACTGCCAATGGGTTCACCAGCTTCTCCAGTTGTGGCGGATATAGTCATGGAGAAACTCTTAGACACCTGCATGGAAAAACTGACAACAAAACCCAAAATATTAACGAAATACGTGGACGATCTTTTTGTGATAACTGGGGAAGATGCAATCAATGATACATTGAATATACTTAACAGTTTCAGCAACAATATCAAATTCACCATGGAGGATGAAATGAATGGATGTTTACCATATCTAGACACAATAATATATAGAAATAAGGACAAATTAGAATTAGACTGGTATCAGAAACCCACGGCATCGGGAAGAATTATAAATTTCTTTTCGAAACATCCCAAGCAAATGATTATAAACACTGCAAAAAATTTAGTACATAGAGTAATGAGCATTAGTGACGAGAAATTCCATAACAAGAACAAACACAAAATCCGAGATATTCTAACAAACAACAATTTTCCAATAAGAATAATAAATAGATTAATAGGACGACGGAATACTACTAGAGAAACCCAAAAAGATGAAAAGATATATAAATCTATGATTTACGTACCAAATTTATCAGAACGATTCCAGAACTCAAATTTATATGACAAGAACAAATATATAATAGCCCAGAAAAACAACAACACTCTCAAAAAGCTATTTAGCCATACAAAAGACAAAATACAAAATCCTGATAAACACAATGTGATATACCAAATACAATGCGATGGCAACCCTAACGAAAAATGTGGGAAATATTATGTTGGTACCACAAAAAATAAATTGAAAACTAGACTATCAGCCCATAAGTCTGATTTAAAAATGAGAAACCAAAATTACACACAAAAAACAGCGCTTGCGGAACACTGTATATCAAGCAACCATCAGCCAAACCTTGAACAAGTAAAAATACTGCAAACGGAAAACCATTACCACAGAAGACTCACATTAGAAATGTTACACATCAACAATCTACACACAACAGAGAGAATAAATTTTAAGAGCGACACAGATAACGCAGCTTATTGCTATAGGCATTTGACACAAAAGAAGAGATCGTGCAATATGTAAACAAAATCAGTGCAATATTAACAGCCGACGATGATAGTGCATTCTATCGTAGTTATTAAGTTAACTTGACGATTATTGTTTACAAGTAAGCGATTTTTGTGTAATAAGATTGTGTTTGTTTCTATTTTTAATCAATGCTGTGATAGTAATATTAAGAATATTATATTATCTTGTAGATCCCCTGAAGATGCAATTTATACAATTGCGAAATATCGGAGATCAAAAATGAAATAAAATAAAAAACTGGCCTAAAGCTCAAAAAAACTCATATTATTAAATATATTGGAAAATAGGTCGAAAAAACTCACACTTATAATATATAAAATGTATTGGCCAACTTATGGTCCTTTCATACAAAAGGTCAAAATTTTGATTAACAAATATTCACATAAAATTGGAAATGATTGTTTGACACTATATCCGGAACCTCACGCATATTTCAACATTTTACAAACATTTGCACATATTTCATGTAAAAGACACACCCTTCCCAATAGAGGGTCAAAAATTTGATTTGATAAACCGACATTGGCGGAGGCTATACATGTGTCAGGAAACTGGATGGTTTTTTTATATGCAGTGGAAATCAGGATTTCTTTTCTCAAGTGACTTTCTGTAAAATTTGATAAAGAATATTTTTGTCTTTGACGTCATCTTTCCAAAATGATGCTGTGTAGGAGCTTTTGCATAAACTCATTAAAGTCGGATTTTAACCCTAAAATGTGTTTTTAATATATGCAAATACCTGAGATTAAGGAAACTTTTGACGTTTTTGGGAACCTATAGTAAAATTTGATTTTGTAGAATATTTTGATTTCCTATGATTCCGTTTAGAGGGAGTTTTTTCAAAAAGGAACAAAAATACCCTTTTGGTGACTCGCGTGAGGGTTAAAATAATCGTCGACTTTTTATCTACAACATTGCCTAAAATCAACGGATTCCACAGAAAAAAGTGAAAGAAGAAAACTGTTTTTTTATTCCATATGCAAGCAATATCTTCAGCCCCTAAGAATCTCCACTCCACCCCTAAGGATTCATTTCATGAACTCCAACAAATTATTTGATATTAAATGTCTACTTGCAGGCAAAATAGTTGGGAGGCTTTTAAATTTAGTTTATTTTCTATACCAAAGATTCAGGAAACTAAAATCTATGGCAAATATCCAAGTGAAAAAATAACTCGAAGGGATGCTAATTAAAAAAAGAACTTTCATTTCCTCCCTTCCAAAGGATATCCCCCCATGCCGGTGGAAAACACGAAATAACATAGAAAAAAATATGTAACTAACAAAAATTTTCACATCCTGGCTAATGAATATCATTATTATGTTTGACATACTTTGTAAGGTGGCATGGTGGCACACACAAGCCCTCGAAGTAATAAAGCCGAGTCATCCAAAAAGGAAGAAAATTATCCAGGGTTTTTTTTTTTTTTTGGGCAACTTTGATTTCCTGCATCATTTTTTCGAATGCTTGTTATTTTCCAGCATAGCCTGTTTTATTGTTGATGTTGTTCTTGTTCTTGTTTTTTATGACTGCTAGTTAGCCTAATTAAATAGTTTCATCGCTTTTCTTTTTCCTCTGCTTTATCAGCATGGTGGCGTGGTGTGGTGTGGTCTTTGGTGTGTTGGCTTTGTGTACAATTTTGATATCAAGTCTTTATGGCCGAATTTTTTATGTTTTTATAAAAATGTCTTTTTCTTTCGTTCTTTAACAATCTTGACAATGTAAGAAATACTTGTTGTGGAAGCAGCAGCAGAAGGCTACGAAAACTAACCGACTGCAATATCACGCGAGTTAACTTCCGTACCGCCGAAAAATCAGAAAACAAGAATTATTCTGTTTTAGATGCCAAATACAACTAATGCTTTATTCAAAAAATTCTTATATTTAAGTGATTTTACAATTATTGATTTTTCTTAGAGTTAACAAAGAAACATAAAATCTAGAGCTATCAAGAAAAATACTTAAGCTAAAAATTTGTATTGGGTACAGTAAAAGTAAACATTTCTTTTTGGGTTATTTCCGTCGTAGTTTTATTACTAGTGTTGTTATTGTGATGTTGAAGTGGAGAATTATTGCTGACGAAATAATGTCAACAATATTGGTGTTAGCTCTTTGGTGCTTATGACAATGTTGTAATTAATAATGATGTTAATAATAATGATATTAATAATAATGATGTTAATAATAATGATGTTAATAATAATGGTGTTAATAATAATGATGTTATTAATAAATGAGGTTGTGGTTGAAAATAATGAACTTAATAATAATGTTGTTTATTGGTGGCTGTAGGTAACTCCTCCCTCTCCAGAATGAAGTGAGGGCCAAAGGGGCTTCGGATCATTTGTAGCCAGAACTTCATTGTTGTTGTGGGTTATGGAGTAGATTAATTTTATAGGCTTTCTTATTACTAATATTATTGATAATATTATGATTATAGAACTAATTATACCAAATGCGGAATAAGAAATTGTTTTGTAATTGTCAGAGTCTGTTTGAAGAAATTCGATATTTGCTTTATTTTGGAATCTGTATTGATCTAATTTGGGTAATGTTAGTTCGTCTCTTATGGAGAGTGTTGTAATATTGTTTGAGAAGCTAGTTTGGAAGGTTATTGTGCTAATGTTTTCTTGGTGAATATTCGGTTTATCTGTATACCAGACATTATTAAATAAGATTTTGCATTCATTAAAATTAATAACAGAGGAAGACTTGATTGGTAGACTCTTAGTTACGTTGTTACATACTGTGGTTATGTTTCCTATTGGAGGGTTTATAAGCACTAGGTAATTTGGTTCTGGATATATTATGTCCGTAGTTAATCCTATGTCTCTAAGGTGACATGCCACCGTTTCTTCTCTAAGCAAAATTGATTTTAGGCAATCTCTATTTCTTTCGTATTGAGTTTCATAGTTGCAGTAAAATTTTTGTTCTATTTGTTTGCATCGGTTGTCGAAAAGATAAAGGTTATCATTGTTTATTAAAGCGTATTCACCGGTTATTATTTCTAAGGTGTTATTTATGGGGGTTTTGATTATGTGTAATAATTTAAATAGTTCATTAGAAATTATAGGAATTTGTATGTCAAATATTATGTTTGTGTCGTTATAATATGCTGTCAGTTGTAGTAATTCATATATATGTTCTGGTGATATAATGTCCGTTGCATTGTTAAGTATGTTGTGTATTTCATTCAGTTCGTCAGTAGTTAATATTAATTTTGGGACGGTGTTAAGCCTTGCTAATACTACTGATTCTGCGATATCATTAAGATGGTCGGTAAGTATATCTATGTTAAAACTGATTTGAAGTAAATTTTGCATTTGGATTATTGCATTAACCGAGGGGTTTATGGCATTTCTTGTCTGGTTTTGAATCATCATTATAGAACGTTCTATTAGGTTTTGTTCTTCATTTATGTGATTGGTAATGTTTTCGAATCTTGTTATCATTTTGTTATTTAACATCAGTTGGTTTTTAAGCGTTGTTTTTATTTGGGTATTTCCTCTAGTTAAATTGTCAATGTTTTTATTTAGTTCTTCTGCATCTTTGTAGTCCATATTTCCCGTTATGAATTTGATTGCTGATCCTAAGGCATTTACAAGTCCCCGTTTTTTCCTATAATTTGGGGTTAATATATCCAATTTGGCTGAGAGATTATTCAGTTTCAGTTTCGTAGTTCTAAGTTGTGATGCTGTAAATCTTGTCTCCTCTATTCGATCCAAAGTTTGCTTTATAGTGTTAATATTGTCGTTATATGTTTTAAGGTTAATAACATGGATTAGATGTTGAAAGTCTGTGATTAATTTAGCATCGCCTAGTTGTAGTGGTATAAGTCCCTGAGTCTGCGTTATGTTTGTTATTGTGACGTCGGATTGTACAGGTACGAACCTAAAAGACAAATAGAAGTCAGTTTATGTAAGACGTTTTCTTTTAATTTTGGCTTTATGTAGTTTTTGGTTATTTGACGTTATCAGCGTCACTTTCTTGTTTTCCTTGACTACCCTTTTTGAGAAGCGAGGGGTCATTTTGTTCCTCCCTGATTCCCTTCTGTATATTGTCTGGTTTTCAGTTAAATCTTCTGGTTCTTCCCTATTTGCGTTTAGTTTTTTTATACGTTTGTCAGTGTCCATGGATAATTTATCTTTAATAATTTTGTGTAAGTCATTTTGAAATTCTTGTAGTCTATTTAAGTAGTCATGTTCAGAGTTATAGCTTAATGTCTTTTCGAAGTTATAAGTCCTACCATAGAAGAGTTCAAATGGGGTTAATTTTGTAGCACTATGGATTGCGTTGTTATAGGTAAAAATGACTTCTGATAGTATTTCGTCGTGATTTAGTGGTATTTCTGATGACTTATACTTTTCGTAAACTATTCTGTAGGTCTCGGTAATGGTTGAATGTAATCTTTCTACGGGAGAGTTTCCTGTACTTTGATGAAATGATGTATAATGTAAGGTTATCTGATGCATTTTACAAAAATCTTTTATAATGGATGCATTAAATTCAGCGCCCTGATCACAAACAATTTTCTTGGGTATGCCGTGTAGGCTTATGAAATGTTTGAAACTTTTCAGAATTGATAGGCTATTCCTAGAGTCTAAAGAGTAAGCGGCTGCAAATTTAGAAAATTTGTCTATGATGGTAAGTATATTACGCTTGTTTATACAATAGATATCTGTGTGGATAATATCCAGTGGTTTTTCGGGAATTTCAGGTTTTTGAAATTTGGGTTTTGGTGGTTTCCTGTCATATTTTAAAGTTTGGCATGTATGACAATGATTAATACAATTTTGTATTTTGTTTTTCATGAAAGGGAAGTAGTACTCTCGTTTTAAGTGTGCATATGTCTCTTGAATACCTCTATGGTTATGGTTCATATGGTATTCATTAATTATTTTGTCTTGCTCATCAATGGTTCTTATGTCTTGTAGAATGTCCATGCATCGTACTAACTTAAATAGTTTGCTGTTTGCAAAGTATTTTGAGTAGGTGCTTTGAATTAATTTAAATGTATCGTCATCTGCCATAAGCGCAGAGACTTTATTTGGTGCTATATAATTTTGGAAAATGTTAGTCAATGTTTGTTCGTCGTACTTTTCTCTACGTATAGTCTTGCGTATTTTATTTTTAAATATTGTTTCTAAGGTTATTGGTGAGCCACCGATTTGAGTTTGAAATATAATTTGAATATTAAATTCGTTAATTGGTCTTTCTGATATCGGTATTCCATCGTCAACATTTTCGTCGGAGGAATGGATT